CGGACGGACGGACGGACGGACGGACGGACATGGCTAGATCGACTCGGCTATTGATGCTGATCAAGAATATATATACTTTATGGGGTCGGAGATGCTTCCTTCTGCCTGTTACATACATTTGGATTTTGCACAAATACAATATACCCTTATACCCATTTTGAATGGGTTCAGGGTATAAAAATATATAAAGTATAACTCTTAATTCCATCTCAAGGATTGGCTCTAATTCAAATATAGTACAGCTGCGTTCATAGGGCACATCGTAGGGTTGTACTAAGTTCCTATATGTATATATATATATATATATATATATATATATATATATATATATATATAGATAGATATATAGATATATATGCCTAGTTCAGACAAGAGTTATAGTCAGCATGTGGAAAGTCTTGCGTAAAGTTCTGAAAATGCGCGCTACGAAAAAAAAGCTGTTCGTAGTCGGATTGTATATATATATATATATATATATATATATATATATGTATATATGTATATATATAGCTGGCAGCTTGAAACCGAAATTATACGCAATTTTGTGGGCCGCTCTTCGTGGGGTTCAAAACAGGTTTCTCAGTGGGCAATTCTTGAAGGCGTCGCTGAGCCGTTTTTTCAATTTCGCTGAAAGTACAAAATGCAAATAAATCAGTTTTGTTTCTTTTTTTGTTTTCTTTTATTTGCACCTGCAACCAAAGTACACAAACTTTTTACAACTTAGTAAAATTGCCTACGAAAGTGACAGGTAAATAAAAAGTTGTAAAAGGAAGGAAATGAAAAAAGACAAAGTATAAGAAACAAGAATTTCAAGTACATTTTCGGCAAGCCGATGACCTAATACCCTTGCAGACTGGCTGGGAATATTGTGAGGTTTAGAGATCTTGAAAAATAGATCAAATATTCCCCCCTCAGATGGGGGAAACTTGGTAGAAATCCCTTATACCTAAGCTAGAAACTTGTTAGGCTTTGAGATCTTGAAAAATAGATCAAATATTCCTAATAAAAATTTCTTTCATATGATAAAGTAGTCCGAAGTTGATAAGATTTGACTCAGATGAATGGAACCAGGTAGAAATCCTTTATGCCTAGTTTAGTTAAGAAGCTTGTTGAGTTTGGAGATTTTGAAAAATTGAGAAATATACCCTATAAAAGTGATCTTATGATAAAGTAGTTCAAAATTGATAAAAATTTGGCTCAGATGGGGAAACTTGGTAGAAACCTCTTTTACCTAAGCTGGAAACTTGTTAAGATCTTGGAGATCTTGAAAAATAGAAAAATGAGAATTCTTTTTTATATGATATAGTAGTTCGAACTTGGCAGAATTCCTTTATACCAAGTTTTGTTGAGACTTCTTGGCAAACAAACAAATTTTACAAAATCTGAACTTTTGACTGATTTTTCCTATAGCAACTAGATGATATAGTGGCAGATGTTAAGTATTTAAGAAGCATATTGAAATTATGTGATATAAAAGTCGGGCTATGTATAATATATATGCAAGGATTTGAGCGTTTAAGTAAGTTGCAATAGACAGACAAGCTGGACTCTCAGGAATGTATAACACATTATGATAGGTTGTTCTGCGAGTTACATAATCCATGACAAAAGTATAGTACCCTCTGCAAGGGCATCGAAATGAAAGAGTTAAATTTGTTGCGAGTTTTGATTGCTTTTGTTTTGTTACTTCAGCATTTTGCTAGAGGACACACAGGACAAATTTATCCTAAGGGATTTGCATTTTCTTTTTTTTGTGGAAAGTATTTATTTTTTCAATTTAGCTGTGGCTTGGCAACTCTGTCGTCGGTTCGTGTTGTGTTTGTGAGCTGTGCGGCACGACATAGATGTGAGGGAGGGGTGGGGGGGGGGGGGGGCGGGTGTCACCTACCTGGTCTGGTTTAGGTGCTCGTGAGTTGACATCGAACAGCACAACGTAAGAATGCATTAAGTGGGAAAAATGTAAAGGAAAAAGAAAGAGCAAATCAAGAAACACCTAAATACTTACGAGCGTGTCTATCGAGAGCTTTGCTATAAACGAACTTCAGGAAGCAACACATAACTCACCTTTACCCCGTGGAGGGGGGGAGGGGGGTGTGGAGAATAGTGTGTGGATCTGTGTATCTGAGCTGCGGCTCAGATGTAGTAGATGCAGATGCAGAGATGCGTTTTTAATTGTTTGTTGTTTATCATTTGCATGTTGTACGAATATGTGCTTAATACTTAGTAGAAAACGCAGCACATTCCATTTAAGAGTAGGTATACTTAGCGTTAGAATAGTTAGGATAGACGATAGACAGCAGCACCTGCGCTTAAACAGTTAGATAGAAAGGAAAGGAAATGGGAAAATGAAACAGGAAAGAGGATAGGAGAGTGAGAGAGAGAGAGATAGATAGACAGTTAGATTGAGAGAGAGAGAGAGACACATAGAAGTTTTGGAAACATTTAGACTAACAGTCATGCCAAATCAAGTTCGGTATACGTAGTATCACAGAGAGAAAGAGAGAGAGAGAGAGAGAGAGAGAGAGAGAGTGAGAGAGAGAGTGTATTGGTTGTACATATGACAAGAGAGAGAGAGAGAGAGAGAGAGAGAGAGAGAGAGAGAGAGAGAGAGAGAGAGAGAGAGAGAGAGAGGGAGAGAGCTGCTTGCCCAGGAATCAAGAAAAACCCATTGTATTATTTGTGTTTTTTTTTTCTCATATGAGTATATATTTATACATATATATCATGTTTTTTTTTTTTATTATTCATTTCGGTTTTTTATTATTTTTCTTTTTAATCAAATGTTCAAAGTAACAATATAATTAATCAACTATTAACGTTTTTTTTTTGTTTTAAATTTGTTTTTCCATTTTCGTTTTTCTTTTCTTTTTTTGTTTTTGTTTTTGTTTCTTGGTTTTGCTGTGTATAGAACTGCTTTCACATCTAATAATGACTTGAATGGTATAATTTTCAACATTATTTTTTCATTTTTTGTTCATTTTTTTGTTTGATGTTTTGTTTAAATTCATTTCCCTATTTGGTTACACATATGCATAGCTATATATACACATATATATACATATATATAATGTCATGTGTGTGAGTGTGTGTGTGTGTGCGTGTGTGTGTGTATATGCATGTATATATAGGCATGCATATGCATATAATTCATAATATATATTCAATAATAATCTTCTTGCTATAAACTTTCCGATATACATATACATACATTATCATAACTATATATATGTAATATTAAACGTCAAAACTAAAAAAAATTCATCTGAACCATTTTTTTTCTTTAACATTTATTTTTGTTCGTCTTTAACATTTATGATTTACGTTAAAATTCTTTCGTTATGATTGAATAATATGTGTTGTATATATATTATTTTTTTTTGTATAAGTTTTTTTTTTTTTTGTATTTTGAATGCTTGATTCGTTTTTTTTCCTTTTTTGGTTTTTATTTCGTAAACAATTAAAGTGAACTTCAATATCATATATATATATATATATATATGTTTTTGAAAAGAACGCAATAGAGATATTTCCTTTATAGAATCTAGTTAAACATTTCGCTATATGTAAGTATGTTAAGTAGAAAGCATTTTCTCGTTTAGATTTAAGAGCTAAGAATTGGAAAGAGCATAAGACTTGGGTTCGGTAAAACTAGTAAAATCTGTTGCTTTTTGGGGAAAACATACTTATATATATATACATATATCTTTATATATATATATGTATGTATTTAGAGTAGAATAGTAGTTAGCATTAGGCTAGGCTCTAGGCGTAGTAGTTGCAGTAAGTAGTTTGAAGTTAAAGATCTTAAGCTTCCTTCGGATATAGTATCTATGCGCTTTTCATAGGAGCCACTGTAAGGCATTCAAATCGTTCGATCGTTCCCGACATTTCCTGTCCGGAGCGACGGGGGGCACTAGGGGATTGCTTTATTAGATTGACAGAGATTGAGATTGGCGTGAATGCAGCCCGAAACTAGTTAGTTCATTTGTTGCCGTTAATCAGAAGATGCAAGTGAAACAGTGTTGAACAACACGCAAATGATTGGTAAAGTGAAAGCGTGTTTCAAGTGAAACAGTGTTGAGCAGCACGCAAAATATTGGTACAGTGAAAGCCTGTTGAACAACACGGAAAAGATTGGATTATAAGAAAGTGTGTGTCGTTCAGAAAAGGACGTAGTATAATTTCTTGGTTATTTTTTGACGTTTCTGTAAGTCAGAAGATGCAAGTGAAACAGTGTTGAACAACACGCAAAAGATTGGTTTAATGAAAGTTTGTGTCGTTCAGAAAGAGACATAGTATAAGTTCTTGGTAGTTTTACAAGTGCAGCAGTGTTGAACAACACTCAAAGCCTGTGTTGAGCGAAACAGTGTTGAGCAACACCCAAAATATTGGTTCAATGAAAACCTGTCGCATTCAGGCAGGGACATATTATAAATTCTCGGTATCTTTTTTTTTTGGTTTTCTGTTTAATATTGTTTTGTATTAATGTTGATTGTTCATTATGATACTGTTGTGATATATCATATCATCTATATATATATTTATATATATATATATATATATATATATATATATATTAGCTAAATTTACTATATGGTATTTACTGTAATATGTAAATTGTACATTTATTTCTTTGGTATTTTTTTTTTTTGTTGGAACTGTACATAACTTTTAACATTTACAACACCATATTTCTTGGCTATTTAAATGCATGTGACTATATGATGTGTGTGTGTGTGTGTGGGTGGGTGTGGGTGTGGGTGTGTTTGTGTCTGTGTGAGTGACTGTGAACTATGCAAAAGAAGTAAATGAAAATTTACACAACGTTCAGAAATAATGTTGTGGTAGTTTTTGGTATTTTATTGGTATTTTGTTGGTATTTAATTGGTATTTTGTTGGTATTTTTTGTTGGTTCTGTTTTAAAAAATGGTTTTTCTTTATAATATATAGTTAATATAAGGTTACTTCTGTTGTAGATGTAGGTTGTTGTTGTTGTTGTACTTGTACTGGTTGTTGTTGTTGTTGTTTTCTTGTGCTGTTGTTGTTGTTGTTGTTGTTGATGATGATACGAGTGGTATATCATATTAAACACCGAGAGTACATATGTCTGAAAGAGACCAGCGAGTCGTAGTTGTTGGGGTGAAGATTTTGGTAGAGTTGTTGTTGTTGTTTCGTGTTGTTGTTGTTGTTGTTGTTGTTGTATTTTTAGGCAGAGTAGTAGTAGTAGTAGAAGTGGCGCAGATTAAAGATTCAAAAGAGTGTTTCAAATCAAAAGAAGAGAGAGAAAGAGAGAGAGAAAGACACCAGAGAAAGAGAGAGAGAGAGAGATATAGAGAATGCAGTGTGATTAAAACATTTATTCATATGTATTTATATTTATATGTATATATATATATATATATATTTATATATATTGGATAAGTAGATAATATAAAAAAATAATAATAAACGAAAAAAACTCAAACTTCGACTGGCCGAAGTTGAAATGTCCTTTCCAAATGTTTCTGTTTAATAATAAATATTTTATATGTATATATATAATATTAATTTTTCTTTTATCTTTCGTTTTGGTTATCTCTATAAGGCATACTACAGGCGGATGTAAAGACGGATTTTGAGCACAATGTTTGGAAAGGGCATGTTGGTACAGAAAGGTGTGATATATATAGTTATATATTGTTAGCATACATACGAGTGATCGAGTAATCGATAAACGATAGACCAACGATATACGATATACGATATTATTTCACATACAATCATTAAATATAATTGAGATAAATTCGACTCGTATCTGTGCAACTGTCTGTATATGTATATATATAGGTTGATATCTGTACATTCATGCATACAATATTGCATTCTGTACCAGGTGAAGTGTACTTTTTTTTTTATATATTCATGTTGTTTGGTGAAACATCGTATTATATATACAATCAGAAGTGGCATATGTTTTGTGGGTATATAATGGATGTAGGCGAGTACCTACCCTTGACAACTTTACAAAGTCGGAGCAGACAACAGAGAGATATATATTTATATATATAGTATATATATATATAGTATTTATTTAAGGGTTCCGTCTTTTGATCCTTGGTTTTGTATGTATTATGGCATTACGTATTGTATGTCTGTTAGTATTTCGAGGGAGTATTTTTCTCTGCACTTTAAAGCATGCATATGCGTTTCGGTATTTTTTTTTGGTTTGTTTAGGTCTGACTTTTGGGGGCGTAGGGGGGGAGGGCGTGTCAAAATGTATGCTAAATGTATCACAGCAATATGCTCTCGAACTGCCTAGCGTTTTTCTTACGAACTATTGTCCTTCGGCTAATTGGCTACAATATAAAGTATTATCTAAGTTTATATACTTTCACTTTCGGTATTTTTTTCTTTTATTTTTGTTTTAGTTAAACTTTTTTGCCTACTGTATAATTGTGAACTTAACAAATATAAGTATATATATATATTTTGCATGTAATTAAGAAAACTGAAACTCAAGTATTGTAAGGTTTAATGTATATAGAATAAGTATTTAGATTTAGGTATATTTTGGGGGTTTACTTACATTTCAGAAGCATCAATCAGTATGTTCAGTAAGTATCTCAAATAGCTTAGAATGTCTCAATTGTTGTGTTGTGTATTTTGTTTTTGTTTTTTATTTTTTGTATATAGGAAAGAAACAAAATGTTACAGCTGTTAGGAAAAATATCTCTTGGGCTTAATAAACAAACGATCGTGAGTTAAATTTTGGTTTTTTTTTTTTTATCTTTTGGTTAAATTGTTTCGAGTACCAACGATGAGTTGTTTCTTGTTTTGTTTTTTTTTTTTTACCATTTCTGCAGTCAATTTTTAGTTAGCGTATATTCACATTGGGTAAAATGTAGCTTGAATTCGTGTCGGAAATATATCAACAATAGAAGAAGCTGGCGTTTGTTTCATATATATGTAGGCTAGTGTATCGTATTATAGAGCTTGTTATCCAGATAAATCCTTGCGGGTATATAGATAGGTATTTTTGCGTGTGTATGTGTGTGTGTGTTATTAAAGTCCAAAAATGAGATTTTCAGCAACGTATTTCGACGGTTCGACATGGTTCAGCAACACCTCCAATAAATCTGTTTCTGTTTCTGTCTCTGTCGCACCAATCGCAGATTTTTTTAGTTTCGATTTCTAACTCGTTATCGTTATCGTTATCGTAAATTTCGCAATGCTATCAACTAAACAACGGTTATGCATTTTCTTTTTTTTTCATTTTGTTTTCCTTTTTTTTTTTTTTGGGGGGCTTTGAGTATATTACATTATCATCGAAGCAAAAGTGATTTGAATATTATTAAAGGCGTTTACTATATTTCGTTTATACATAATTTGGTTTATGCTTTAACTACTTTAAAATTCAATAGGATTTCACCGTCCTGTTTTCATACATACATATGTTTCATTTTCATTGAATTTGCATCGTTTTTATTATTATTATTATTAATTTTATGCTATTTGTTTTATTATTGGTTTTCGTTTGAATTGCTTGAATTATTATGATATAATAATAGTATATAATTCTTATGCTTCACATAACCTCAATCTTTGCGGCGTTTTATATATTCTTTGGTTGATTTACTGCTGCCGAATTGGGCATCGGGTTTATAAATATGGTAAATAGATAGAATATTTGTTTATGCTTTCCCATATTATGCAGAACGTTTCGAACATAATAATTGTTTATTTGATGCTTCTTTGCTGGCAACTTTATATTGATAGCAACAAATTGAAGTTAAGTGTGATTTAAATCAATTGCATTTGATCGGTTTTTTTTTTTGGGTTTACTCAGTTATTATTTTGAATTGGTTATTATTATGGTTATTATTATTTTAGATATCATTTATGATGACTGACATATCACTGCATGACACATTTTCCCTCTATTTGAGTTTTTAGCTCATTTACTTGCGTTTCTATTTGATTTTTCAGTTCTGTAAAAAGAAATTGAGTATGGAAACAGCAATAAATAAGCATATTTTGTAGAGTACACTACAAATGTTATGTATGTTCAACTGGTATATGTATATGTATTTTTTTAATGGATGCTCATGTTAACTAACATAGCGCAACGGGACGTCGCTTAACGTATTTGAGTGCAACTGTTAACTGTACGGTAGCCATATAATCATATATCATAATTGGTCTAAATGATAATAGGTATAAGTATATTTATGCTTGGAATCAAAGAGACATCACTCAAAATGCAATGCAGCAGGTGTAGAGTCGGGGACGCAGGTGGGGGGGCGGTATTTGTAATAAATTAAATGCTTATATTTCTGCTTGCCAAATCATAATTGCAATTAGTGTAGCATAACGTAATCAAAGTCTGTAATGTAATCGTGTCGAGTAGTCATGTAATTAACAGTGTAACAGAAAGTACTCATGTAATTAACAGATAGACAAAAGTAGAGAGAGAGAGAGAGAGAGAGAGCGCGTAAGAGAGAGTCACAGTTAGTCGTGTGAGTGTGACAGCGATAGGATAGATGGCGTGAGAGTTGTGCGTGTGAAGAGAGTAGAGAGAAATACACATACATAGACGGCATATGCATTATATATATTTCACATAGCATTATGTTAAATACATATACTACATACGGATTAAAGGAGAAAGAGAATAAACAATTGCAAGAGGGAAAAAGTTGATAGATACGGATATTTGTTGTTGTTGTTTGTTTTTCTTTTGGCTTTACTAAGTTTATTTATGTTTTGATTACGTTTTGTTAGCATAAAACACAAAGTTTTCATCAAGTTCAGTTTGTATAATTATTTATTTTGTTTTTGTTATGCGTGTTTAGTTTTCAAATGTAATTCGAGCGCACAAGCCAGGGAAATAAAGTTTGTTGGTTTTTATTTTAAGTTTGGTTTTAGTTTTAAGAGAAATCATATAAAGCTATATTTATAAGTTAGTTAGAGTGCAGTTGGTGAGTTTTTTGATGTTGTTAAAGGATAAACAAAGTTTCGTTTGTAAAAAATAGAAATATAATGTAAGTATAATCGAATAACTATAACTACCAGACCTCAACTCTAAACCCAGCCTCGTTACGGGCGTACCCCTAATCTAATATCTTTTATTTTCGTACTGGACTCGTGTGTGTGTTTTTTTTTCTTCATATTTGTATTTGTTGTGAGTTTTACGGAAACACTTGAGTATTGTATTCAATCTGACAAAGGGTTTCTCAACAGAGTTTGACAGATAGTTTGATAGAGAGCGAGAAAGAGAGAGAGAGCAAGAGAGAGAGAGAGAGAGCGAGAGATAGATAGAGAGTGAGACGGGTGTAAAAGATGAATTACAAATGCAAGAGCTTGCAATTAGTTTACCACACACAGAAATATTTTTTAATGAATTTTCGCACTTACCTTAGTCTAATATTAAACCTAAGTACAAAGACGACAATCTTTCAATTGTCTACACTAACATCAATTAATTAATTTATTCGATTTGCAACCCAGTTTCGAATACAACACATATTTCTTATAGATATAGGTATATACCATTTAAATAAGGATAAACCGAATGAAATACTCGAGAAGAAATAAAACGAGATGATTCAAAACAGAAAGAAAACTAAATAAATTAAATGAGAGAGAGAGAAAGAGAGAGAGAGAGAGAGAATGGAGTGCACACTTGATATAGATTGTTCATTCGTTGCTTTAAAGTTTGATTAGTTGATAGTTATAGAGTTTAGTTAGTAGATACGATTAGTTTAGAGCTTACATACGCACAGGAAACATAGTACAGATACATATATAGTAGTAGTATTTAGTAGGTAGTATTAGAGAGAGATAGAGATAGCTTGATAGTAGCTATATAGTTTTACGAGCACGAGTAGATAGATAACGACACATAGATACTCTCACACACACACACACACACATATACTACTTTCAAGCGCCGTGGTGTTTATTGTTTTTTTTTTTTAATTTTTTTTTGTGTTGTTTTTTATTGTTGTATTTTGTTGTTGTTTTTGTTGACAGCCGCTTGAAAAAACATTGTTGAATACATAAAAATAATAAATAGTACACAAAATACATAAAAAACAGGAGAGCGTGAGAGCGAGAGAGAGAGCGAGAGAGTGCTCATACAGTTACACACAGTTACTAGGGAGAGAGAGCGCGACTTGCTGAATTATTATTATATAGATTAGCATATTTCTAGTTTAAAGACCAGTTGAAGATAGTATATACATATACATAGATACATTTGAGTACGAGTGCTACATATACACGGGGGCGGAATTTTGTAAATTGAAACATCTCTGACTTACTTGTAAAATCGTCGAGCTCCTCCTGCTCGGCCTCGGCGGCCAGCTCCTCGGGCGTCTTCTTTTTTCGCATCAACGGATTTGGCTCCTCCTGCGGCATTGCCTCGACAATTTCCTCCTTTTTCTTGATGTTGTACTGTAAGAGTGTTTGGCCGAGTGCCATATGCAAATTGTATATATCTGAGTGTCTGTCTGTGTGTTTCTGTGTGTGTGTGTGTGTGTATACAGTGAAAGCTCTAATAACGGACAGCGAATGCTTGAACTCCAATCTTCTTGCGGCAGAGCGGAAAGTCAATTTGAAATCGGAAAAAATCAAGAAATTGATTTGGAATTTTCTTGAAGATATTTCTTTGCCTGAGCGTTGAACCAGCAAGCGGCAGTTCGTTGGCTCAAATCCTATTCATTAAATAGGAAGAAAATTGTGAATACAAATAAATAAAATGAAAAAGTCTCCAAAAAAAAAAATTAGGAAATTGCATTGAAAATTGTGTAAAGAGATTTCTGTGCCTGAGCGTTGAACTAGCAAACGGCAGTTCGCTGGCTTAAATCCCGAAATTCATTAAGTAGGGTGAAAATTGTAAATAAAAATATAACAAAAAGGATTTTCTTAGATCTACATTCCAGAAATATTTTCCGCGTTTCCTTTTCTATTTCATGAACAACTAACTCAACTGTTCGCTAAAGCGAGCTTTCACTGTATAGCTTAAATCGCATATTGTCCATATTTATTCACTTGCTTAACACTTTGTCACTTGGCACATTTCTACTCGTTGTTTGGGTCCTTTGTAATTCAATCTGACTCCGTTAGGGAGTCGCTCGTGAAAGGACTCCCTACTAGAGTCAATTTGAACTGCGGCAGGAATACACGCGTTGCACTTGGCCGGGATCTTAATCGAATGCATCGCATGTCCTTACCTTGTCGCGTATGTCCTGCCTCATCTTTTCGCGCTCCTCCTCCATCTTTCGGTGCTTCTCCTTGCGCCGCTCCTCAGCCTCGCGTATGGCCTCTTGGCGCTCCCTCTCCTCCTCCTCTGCCTTTTCCTTGTCGTCGCCATCATCGCCACCATCGCCTCCTACAGCGCCTGCACAAAGATGCAAAGAAATCGGTTTTAGTATAATTGTGTTGAGTATGTTTTCTGTGTGTTTACTGTACAGCATACACTATAACGCAGCTGATTATGTCTGCTGATCTAGTCCAATCAAAATCGGTCATGACCAATTTTAGCTTGACATTTTGACACTGATTCATAGATTGTAACAACAACTTGGCTCTACACTGCAAGAAAAACTTAATGTTTTTCTACTTAAATCAAGTGCGTTTGCACTTGTTGTCAGAATCTAGCCAAGCGCGAGAATAAAGTTCCCAATTTAGGCAGCTTTTCTTTTTCAGTTCGAAATTTCGAAATACATTTCAGTTGAGAACATTTCCTGCTTATTTTAAGTATGTAACTTATTTAAATAAGCTTAAGATTTCTTAAACTGAGAATGAATTTCTCGTCACAAGAAGCTTTTCTATTTTCAGTCAGAAATTTCTAAGGATTAGCTTAGCTATACAAGAATGTTGTATTCAGATTATTTGTTTGCTTATTTTAAGCACGTAAATTCTTGAAATAAGTATTTGGGACCTTAAATTTCATTGACGGGGGACAACTTTTTCTAGATATCTAAATGCTGCAATCAAATGCCATACATAACCTAAGAAATGTACGCTTGTTAAGAACATTTTATGCTTATTTCAAGTATCAAAATTCTTGCTATATTCATTTAAGAATGAAATGTACTTGGCATTTTTGACGAGTGTAGTCTGGTCTTGCGGGGTTGCGGCTGGTCTGGGTTGCCACTGATAGCTGGGTCTAATCGGGCTGCCAGTGGAAACGCGATTAGTTGGGCGGCAACATTGAAAGCGACGCGACGCACAAGCGTGCCACAAAAGATTTCGCTGCGGAAGTGGAATTGTGGGCAATTTCCGGTGATTTGCATTCGATGCGACCTTTCAAACGCTTTGACCTCATAGTTTGACCAGGGTCAGTTACAGTGACAGCTACATTAACAGTTGGCCAAAGCCATTCTCAGCTTGAAGCTCGTGGCAGCCGGTCGAGGCAGCAAATGTCTGTGCAACTTTTCTTGCTCGTATTGTGGCTGTTGCATGCCGCTTGCGGCAACAGCCCGGACAACGATGTGCTGCGCTTTGGCGAGCAGCTGGAGCAGCTGCTGGACAAGACGCGTTCGCCCTGCCAGGACTTTTATGGCTATGTTTGCGGGCGGAGCGCGACCGGGAATCAAACGCTGCGCCGCCAGCAGGAACAGCAGCGCTTCCAGCAGCTGCTGCGCGCGGCCAATCCCCTCCAGCTGCTGGACATGGAGCGGCAGCTATTGAACTTTTACAAGTCCTGCGAGAACACGCGCACCGTGGACTCGCTGAAGTCCTCGCTCCTGTACAGAAGCAGCGGCGGCTGGCCCGTTCTGGACGCCGGCAGCAATCGGACGGCGCTGGGCTGGCTGGCATTGCTGGGCCAGTTCCATGAGATGGGCGCGCCATACTTTTTCGAGAGCAGGATCAGCATGCAGTCGAACCAGCGGCTGGTCACACTGCAGCCGGATCTGACCAGGCGGCACACGTTGCGCAAGTTCGAGCAGCGCGTCGGCGAGCTGCTACAGAGCTTCGGCGTGGAGCAGAGTCGCGCCCATGTCGCCGCGCTGGAGGTGCTCAGTCTCGAGCGCAGTCGTCGCGACATTATCAAAACCGAACGCATCGACGACCAGGTGCAGTTCAGCTATGCCAACTTCAAGCGCTCGAGCATTGGCAACATCTCAATGTCGCGCCTCGACTGGGACGGCTACTTCCGGCGGCTGCTCGGCGGCAAGACGCTGCAGCCGACGGATGCGATTGTCGTCAAGCAGCTGCCACGCCTCGTCGACTACATGCAGCTGCTTCAAAATACCAGCATGCATCGCCTGCTCAACTGGATTTGGATTGATTATCTGATGGGTGCGTATACGTAATATTTTAGCACAATATTCGCGTCGTAGACGGGCAAGATTCTAAATACTCTGTTCACAAATAGAAAAGGGCATATTGCCTTCGTGCTATCAGAAATGTGTCCGTCTGTCTGTTTGTATTTCTGTCTTCTTCTCGATAACCTGATGGCTGCGTATACGTAATATGTGAAAACATTGCTCATACGCAACGTGTACGTGCAAGATGCTTAATACTCTGTTCATAAAACGAGATGGGGTATATTCAATTTGGGCTATCATCTGTCTTCTTTTAGATAATCTGATGGGTTCGTATACGTAATATGCGAAGATTCTTAATACTCTGTTCGCAAAACGAATTGGGTAATATTGCCTTTATGCTAGCAGAAGTGTGTACGTCTGCCTGTCTTTGTTTCTGTCAGTCTGTCTGTCTGTCTTCTTCTAAATTATCTGATAGTTACGTATACGTAATATAGAACACGTTTCTCATACGCGACGTGAACGGGCAAGATACTTCATCTATGCTATTGCCTGTCTGTCTATCTTTCTTCCTGTCAGTCTGCCCGTTTGTCTGTCGGTCTGTCTCTCGCTTGACACCTTAATTAAGTAAATGCTGAAGACATTCTTAACACTCTGGGCAGGAAGTTTACAAGTCACTGCGAAGGGGCGACAGTTGAAGAGTCACTAAGAGTTAAGAAAACTCGTTTTGAAAAGCATTTTAAGTTTTCTATCTATCTTCTATCATATACAGTTGTATATAATTATAATTACATATTTGACATTGTAGACATTATAGACACATATGAGACACTTCCTATAAATATCGGACAACTATATCTTATGCTCCTTAGAAGCAATTGGACCAACAATTAGTTTCTTCTCTCATTTGTACTCACATTTCTGCAAGGGCTTTCTCTATGTATATAAGTTTTAGCGTGCTAACAGAGTATTGCCCGGACGATGCTACCCGACTCAAATTTCCTAACGTACTATTGTGTTTTCTGTCTTGCAGACATCGCCGCCGCCGACTGCCAGCAGCTGGCGGAGGCCTACGCCGGCGACGTCTATGCGCATCTGCTGCAGCGCCTGAGCTCGGATCGGGTGCAGCTGACGCACATGTACGCGGCAATGGGTCGGGCCTACAAGGAGCAGCTGTCGGGCAGCGTGTGGATCGACGAGATCTCCGAGCAGGGCTCGCAGCGTTTTCTCAGCCAGCTGATGCACGTGCTGCTCAACGGTGACGCGCGCCTGGACGCCGCCTACCAGCCGCTGCAGCTGGGCCGGCGCAGCTTCTATCGCAACATGGAGAAGCTGCGACGCTTCCAGCACAGCCGCCAGCCGCCCAGCGGCGCGGCGCTGCAACTGCGCCAATACGCGCAGATCTTCGAGACAATTAACGGGCTGCTGGCCAAGCAGCAGCAGAGCCTAAGCGCGCCTCTGAACTATGTGCTGCTGTCGGAGCGCTTGGGGCGCCATCTAGTGGCCGCCGGCAGCAGCAGTCGCACGCCCGGCGCCTGGCGCAGCTCCGACTCGGAGCAGCAATTCGCCCAGTTCCAGAACTGCAGCCAAGCGGGCAGCAACACCAACGCCCACGAGCTGCTGCTCAGCATGTGGGCGCAGCGCCTAGCGGGCAGCTGCTACAAACTGTGGCTAACGGGACAACAGGCCACAGTCGCTAGGTTGAATCCACAGCTGACCGTCGGCCGGCTGCAGTTGACGCTGCAGCGGCTGTACTTTGTGGGCAGCCTGCTGGTGGAGTGCACACGCGAGGGGCAGCCGGGGCAGCAGGAGCGCAAGCGGCAGCTGCAGCACGCGCTCTTGCGTAACACGCCCGAGTTCAGCGAGGCCTTCAGCTGTCGGCCAGGCGATGCGCTCTACGCGCAGCAGCAGCGCTGCCCGCTCGCTGCAAACGCGTGACAAACAAAAAAAAAATAGTGAAGAGAAAAGGAAATGTGAAAAACTTGGACATTGGACTTGAATGCATAATAAATGAATTGAAATGTGAAACAGACTGAAAAAGTTTGTCAGAATTTCAACCTTGAACTTTTTCATCAGCATGGCTAAAAATCAATATATTTAACTCGCATTGTAAACAAATGCCAAGAGGAGAGTGGGGGAGGGGGGAAGGGGCGCGATTGATTTTGTGTGCTCTTCAGCATATGCTTACGTTTACAGTGTATGTATATGTATAAAATCAAATAAAAAAAATGTTTTGTTAGTTTTTGTAACTTACATTTAGCAGAGAGTATTCAGTTACAGTTGTTTTTTTTAGGAAAGAGAGCGTTACAGACAGAGAGAGAGAGAGAGAGAGAGTTTTGAGCGAAAGAGTTGAAAATGAAATTAAAGTGCACACAACACCGAAAATAACATTTAAAAACTGCTCTTCCTTGCGAATTAATTGTTTTTCTTTTTTGCATACCAATGAAATTCATGATTTCGTGACGCTTTTAGGCCAATGCTATCTCTCCGTGCTGCTGGCTTTTTGTTGGAAACACGCGACTACGTTAAATGCAGCCACCGCTGCCGCTGCCGTTGTGGTTACGACTGGCCAGTTACAGTTTTAAGCGTCAACGCATTGCCGCACCGCACCACACTGTACACTGTGTGCCCAGGCGCGTCTGCTGCAACTGTGACACACTGACGCTGCGCTTTCGTCTTCGTCTTCGTGCGCTGCCATCGTGCTGAACTTCGTCTCGACTCGTCGGCTCTGACATCGTTTGCTGCTGTGCTTGTGTCCCCGCTTGCGTTGCCATGTCTACCAAATCGATTTGCTCGTGCAGCGGTAAAACGAAGTGCGTACCCGGCCACGAGCGCACACGAACTGAACGCACAAAAACTGAACTTGACTTGACTGTTGCCGACTTTTAAGCGACGACGACGCACTCGGTTACGTCAGCTGCCAGAGAGAACTTCAGTCGCAGAAGTGCAAAGCTGGAGTAGGAGTCAAAACAGCAAACGCTGGGCTTTTTATGCCCAAGCGCCGCAGTCGTTGACGCTGTCGCCGTCGTCGTCGCAGTCGCAGTCGCTGCCGCTGTCGCTGGACCACATTGTGTGTTGACCTAAGCGCAGGGGGTTGACTCCTGTTAACAGTTAACTGTGAGCCTTGCAGCGCCTGCGCATAACTAGCATAGACTTTGGCTTTGCGTCTGATAACAGCAGCAGCAGCAGCAGCAGCCGCCGCAGTCTCGCTCTAATTATTGTTGTCGCACTCGGGCAGCGCTGCTGACGTCGACGACGCTGCTGCTGCTGCACAGCCTCCCGATGTGACAGCGCAAACGCAATAGAAAATTCCCACGCGCTGCTCTTGAGCGCTTTTTTTTTTGCAAAAGTCGCCAAAGGGGCGGCGCGCTGCCCAAGGGGGTTAGCTGGCTGGCTACTGACCACATTTCTCTGCTGCTACGGCGTCGGCTGCGACAGCGAAAGCGACGGGCGCTATCTCTGCCGCTGCCTCTGCTGCTGCTGCTGCATGTCTCTGCTGCTGTGCTAAAGGCAACGCACATTAAATTGAATTTATAGTCATCAATTTGCTGAATAGCTGCGTGAATTAACTTTTTCTTCTCTCCTCTTCTCTTCTCTTCTTCTTTTTTATGCAGGGTATTCGCCTTGATTTGTGTAGATGTCCATTTATTGTTTTCTTAAATCAGTCCAATGTATTTTATAATAAAAATTGATTTGCCCCCCTCCCCCCTCCAATCCTCGCAACAAAATGGTGTCAAATTGTTTTACAGCCAAAAGGCGAAATATACTCGATTCACCCGCACCCTGCCCCCCCCCCCCTGTCTGCGTACTGTTGCGCTTTTATGAGACTTTTGTAATTTGCTTTATGAACTTTATGAACTTCCTTTTATGCCATTTGGCGCTTTCCGTTGTTCAGGACCAGCTTCTGCTGTTGCCCACCTTCTGCTCTGCTTTATTTGTGGCTGCAACTGACTCTTGTTTTAAGAGCACCTCTCCACACACACATACACACATACATACGCGCATGCATACATACATATGCATATACATATATCTAGCTATATGCATGCACTGCGCGCAAAAGGGGTTAATGAAGGGGATATTCTTCGGTTTATGCTTCAATTTCAAGAATATTTCGTTTAAAAAAAAACTTTTTAAATTAAGTGTGAACTGTTTTTAAAATCTTAAAAAAAAGATTGAATGTTTATAAATAACTTTGTCTAAGATTAAATTAAAGTGCAATAACTTTTGTTGATTTTCTCTGGGTGTATTAAAATGTAGAAACTCTTTAAATTGAGTCTTACATTTCTTTTGCTTGCAAATTTCGATATTTAGTAAAAGTAGTTACTGTTTTGTACAATAACCCTGTCTTATTTTCTCTGAGTGTATATGTACACTCTCAAGTTTGGAGTTGTTCATTGCATGTTAAGAACTCGTCGCAACTCAATTAAAAACTAATCAAGCCTATTGTAATATAATTATCGTGACAGTATAATTAACACTGCTTGTGCTTGCTGCCACGCCCCCCCCCCCCCATATTTAGCAGCTTTTCTTCATTTCCCGCAGCTCTTTTTTGCGCTTTCTGCTTTTCTTTTTTTTGCCAGCTATTTTGCATATTACATTTATTCTCTAATGGACAACCCGTTGGCCATCGAAGGTCCTTTAAGACCTCGGAAAACTGCAGCATTTTCTTGACAGCTGCCTCCCAAGAAAATGGTGAAAATCTTGTGAACAAAAAAAAAAAGGAAAAAGAAATCACTTTGAATCTAACTCTGGGCACACAAATTGGTTGTGCTTATTATTATTATTTTTTTTTGCTCGCCTTCCTTTTTTTTTTTGCGTTAAAAGCTTTACTTTTGCGCTGCGTGTCTTGGCCATAATGAGGGTACTTAATACCTAGCCCTGCGGCCGGGCTGCGCTGCGCTGGGCTGGGCTGGGCTCTCTCTCCTCATATATAGTCTATCATCCCTTTTGGGTCGCCGCTAAGTGCGCCCGGTCCCCAGTCATAAGTCTGATATACGATCCAAAGGCCGGATAAGTAAGTCGCACGCTGCGTTTTATTGCTTCGAATGCTATTTTGAATACCAACACGTTAGGCGCTGGCTTGAGGATTGGATTGAGGGGTCAGGACTGGGCCCGTAATTGTCTTAGGCTTGTGCTGTGGATCTATATGTGGATGACGGCCTGAACTGGGAGGGGGGGGGCTGCTGACATTTATGCGACTTAATACGCGCACGCTGTGGGCATACTACATTAGACTTCCATTTCCATTTGTATTGCCAACTGACACACACACACGCACACACACACACACACACGTATATGTATATAAAATGACAGTCATTTGTGCGTCTCATCCTTGCGCACACACACTTCTCGGCGCGTGTGTGCGTAATTTTTTTTGCTCTTCTCTTCTATTTTTTTTTCTTTTTATTGCAAGGAGTTCGCTAAAAAGGCACGAACGTCAAATTATTTTCTTGCTTAATCCGGTTCAAGACCGCCGAGCTTTGTTACGCCCCCGCGCCCGCTGCCCCCTTCATGCCCCCTCTGCTGCCATCCGGCTGTGCATCCGCATCTGGGTCAGAGCTGGAGACGTCGACAAATGACAGGAAGTGGGCGGTCTGTCGGACTGTCGGTCTGTCCTGCGACTTCTCTTAAGTAGATGTTGGCTTAAGCAGCTGCCAAACGTTGCCTAGCCGCCCCGCCTCCCACTGTTCCGCCCCTGCCCCACCCCTTTCCTCCCTCCCTGCTCGTAGATTTGCCGCATAGCCAAATGATTTCATTGTCATAGTCGCTAATAGCAACTACCATATTCCCGGCGTAATTACATTTTAACAGCCTCAAAGAGTCCTGGATATTTACTTATGGCCCCACGCACACACACACACACCCGCACACACACCCTTGACACTGCTTTCGACGTGTATCTTTAACTCGTGTAGCTGTATCTTTTAGCTGTAACTGTGCACTCAGAGAAAGAAAGGTCCAGTATATCCAGCTTAGAATTTGCCTTAGATTACAGCTGAAGCTTGAACTTGTTTTAAAAATATTACTTGAACTAAGCACAAAGTACTAAAAAAAGAATACTCGCTGTGAATACTTTGCTTATTTGAATTAAGCATAAATAGTTCACAATAGTTGTTAAATATCTCCTAAATAGACTTCTGCACTTAGTTCATTTTCGAAAACGTACTTAAAGCAAGAATTTATATGCTGAAATTGAGCATAAAAATCGTACTCAATACTCAATTTAAGAGTACTCTACTCTTTGGATTCTCTTTAGGAACTTCGGACATAAAATATGTTTCATAATTGGAAGTACAAAAAACTTGTTTGTATTAAGTATTAAAAAAAGGACTTAAAGCAAGATTTTGCAAGCTGAAAATTAGCATAAAAATCATAATCAATACTCAATTTAAGAGTACTCTACTCTTTGGATTCTCTTTAGGAACTTCGGACATAAAATATGTTTCATAATTGGAAGTACAAAAAACTTTTTTGTATTAAGTACTAAAAACAGGACTTAAAGCAAGATTTTGCAAGCTTAAAATTAGCATAAATCGTACTCTATCTAGGATTTCTCTTCTTTCAGGAACTTCGGACAAGCACTTTAATTGCAATTAAAATATTTGTTTTTTTAAGTACTGCGCTTAGCACGTTTGCACTTGATTTGAGCAGCTTCTTGCACGTGTTTTTCTTCGAGTGTATTTTTAGCTGATGTAGCTGTATCTTTTGAGCTGTTGCTGTATCTTTTTGGGTTGGCGTGCGTGTGCATAAGTAAGCGTAAAATGGGCGTGTGCAAGTGTTAAAATGTTGTCCTCTACTTGTGGCAGAGTAGGCCGACTGCCGACTGCCTCATGCCTCTGCCTCTTTCCCCTGCCACTTGCCGACTGCCCCTGCCCCTTGCCACTTGCCTCTGCCTCTGCCTGGGCTTATGGCCCTTCATAATGACGCAAGTAAATCTCATTGCCATTTCGCTGGCTGTGTACTCAATTCTTTTCTTGTCCCCATCCTTTCTTCTTTAGCGCCAGCAATTAGTTGTTAGCCGACTGGCACGCCCACAAGCCACGCCCACTCGCACCTCCCAACCTGCCAGCCTCCAACGGCAGCGAGCACTTGTCAATGTCAGGAATGTGCCTTCCATGTCAGCAAATGCTGGAAATTTGACAAAAATGCTGCCGCCTCCGACAGCTCTGACAGCTGATCAACTGCATGCAAATATTTTCACAAATATTTCAAGAATTTTTAATATGCAGCATTTATGTGTGCACACCCAAAGAACTCCTTAGAGTACCTCACGCTCCGCCCATTAAATGCGTCATTTTGCCTTTAGTTTTGCGGTCCTTTTTGCGGCCGCAGGATTAGTTATGCCGCGCGGCTGCCGTCGGACGTGCTGGCATGCACGGCTCAGGCTCCGGCTCAGAGTGCATTCCGTTGGTTAACAGAGGTTTCTTAAATCAAAGTCGGCCAGATCCTGGCTAGGCGGTGCTTAAAGCGACTTAACTGGAGGTAAGCTCTAGATTCAAGTGCTCCATGCCAGCTGGGAGAAGGTTTCTACCAGGTGAGCATATTGCTGGAGCTTCATATAATAGATAGCATACAAAGCAGATATCTGTTAGCTGGAATTTATTTGGGACTCCAGAAGTTGGGCAGTGGCAGACTTTCAAAGGCAAGCTATTGGGAAAATAGAACAGAATTTTGACAGGAGGAGAGGAGGAGAGTACACTTAGTGGAAATTGAAACCGATAAATCTATCGATTAATCAATCGGATTAATCAAC